TAGAGTCCCACGTTGGACTCTCTGCATGGAGCGTGCTTCTCTCTCTGCCTATGTCTCTGCCTCTTTCTCTCTGTGTGTCTCTATGAATAAATATATAAAATCTTTAAAAAAACAAACAAAAATAGAAACTTCAGTTTCACTAGGTACAAAAAAAGAGGGAGGGAGGGAGATTCCATTAGATCATCTTTTAAATTTTTTTAACAGATTTTGAGAAAGGGAGTGCGCAAGAGGGAGTGAGCACACAAGTGGGCACACAAGTGGTCGTGGGGGGGAGGGCAGAGGGAGAGGGAGAAGCCTACTTTCCACTGAGCAAGGAGCCCTATACAGGGCTCAGGGCTCGATCCTAGGACCCTGGGATCATGACCTGAACCTAAGGCAGACACTTAAACCGACTGAGCCACCCAGTCACCCCCTATTAGATCATCTTTAAATTGCCCCTTGAAAACTAGGTCAATGGCATCTAACTTGAACTCAGTACTGGGTGCAGGGCCCAATCTATCACAGGGGTTGGGGTTTGAGTTGCTCACCCAGTCTATGGCTGGGTTCATTTCTCTTTTTTCCAGTCTGTTTTCTGCTGTTCAGATGGGTAATTTTTGTTCAACCTTCACGTTCATGGATTCTTTCCTCTTCAGTCCATTGTTCTGTTAATTCATTTAGTTTTTTAATTCAGGTTATCGTATGTTTCAGTTTTACAATCTCCATTTGCTTCTATATAGCTTCTATTTCTTTTTTTTTTTAAAGATTTTATTTATTTATGAGAGAGAGGGGCAGAGACACAGGCAGAGGGAGAAGCAGGCTCCATGCGGGGAGCCTGACGTGGGACTTGATCCCTGGTCTTCAGGATCAGGCCCTGGGCTGAAGGTGGCGCTAAACCACTGACCCACCCAAGGCCGCCTGCTTCTATTTCTTTGTTGAGACTTCCTGTTTCTATGCGGAGATGTTCTGTGTTTTCATTTGTTTTAAGCTTGTTCTTAATTGCTGAAGCATTTAATGATGGATGCTTTAAAATCTTTGTCAGTTATTTCTAACATCTCTCTCAACTTAGTGTTGCCAACTTTTTTAAAAAAAGATTTCATTTATTTATTTATGATTTATTTATTAATGAGAGAAAGAGAAAGAGAGAGAGAGAGAGAGAGAGAGAGAGAGAGAGAGAGAGGCAGAGACACAGGCAGAGGGAGAAGCAGGCTCCATGCAGGGAGCCTGATGTGAGACTCGATCCCCAGACTCCAGGATCACGCCCTGGGCCGAAGGCAGGGGCTAAACCCTGAGCCACCCAGGGATCCCCAAAGATTTTATTTATATGAGAGAGAGAGAGAGAGAGAGAGAGAGAGAGAGAGAGAGAGAGAATGAGCAGGAGGAGAGGCAGAGAGAGAGGGAGAAGCAGAGGAACGTGGAGTCGAATGCGGGGTTCAATCCCAGGACCCTGAGATCATGACCCAAGCAGAAGTCAGATGCTTAACCAGCTGAGTCACCCAGGTTCCCCTAGCATTCCAACTATTGATTTTTTAAAAATTTGTGTTCCTGGTTCTTAGGATGACATGTGATCTTTACTGAAACCTAGACATATTGGTTATTATTATGAGACTGTAGACAGTAAACTTTCTACTTCAGTTGTTCTTAGACATCACTTTAGGAGCAGGAGGAGGATGTTGCTGCCTTTTTACTCCCAGGTAGTGAAGTCCAGGCTCTGTAGTTAGCTTCTGTGAACACTTCAGGTGGTAAGGCAAGGGTTTCTTAATGCTGGGCAAAGGTAAAAGTCCTGACTGTCCATTAGGCCTCCTCTGACATACCATGTTAGTGGAGTAGGTTTTATAGAGGTAATTCATTTTAAGTTGGTAAGGATAGAAGTCCAGGTTGCCCACTTGGCCTTGGCTGCCTTGACTGGGGTGGGCCACTATTTTTCCATAGTATTTGCCTGAAGTAAAGACATTATTGTGTAAAATAGTATGTTTTGTCTTGCTGGCCTGCCCTTTCCTGATCTTTGGCTGTGGGAGGACAGCATTTATTTTTCTGTCTGCATCCATTGGTAATTCCAGGTTGCTAGTTTCTCCAGGTCCAAGTCTGAGATACATGAGGCAAATAGAAAACTTGGGGAACTTACCACTGTTCTGTGTTCTAAGGCCCCTACCTAGTCTGCCTTTTCTCCATCTTTCAGTCTTCATATGCATTTGTTTTGTTGTCTTTTTCTTCAAATTTTGAGAGGGTACAAGTGGGGGAGGAGCAGATGAGAGAGGGACAAGCAGACTCCCCATTGAGCGTGGAGCCCAAAGTGGCCAGATCCCAGGACCCCCAAGATCACAGCCAGAGCAGAAACCAAGAGTTGGACACTCAATGGACTGAGCCACCCAGGTGCCCCTGGTGTTCATATATATCCAAGATTTTTAACTGTATGTGGCAGGAGGAACAGAACAAAGTACATTTCTCCAACCAAGTACTTTCAAGCTGTGATTTTATATCTAAAATCCAGTTCTTGTGGACAGAGTTGGGTATTGCTATTTATTCAGTCTGCTTTATTTATTGGTGTGTTTAGGCCATTTGTATTTAATGTAATCATCGGCATGGCCATATTTAAATCTACAGTTGTATTTTGTTTGTCCTGTTTTTTGTTCTTCTTTACCTTTTCCTGTCCCTTTTTTGGGAACATTTGTTTTTGTTTTTGTTTTGGAACATTTGAACATTTAACAAAAGTCCATTGATCTGTTTTTTAGTTGTAACTCTTGAATTCTTTTTAAAAGTTGTTCTAAAAGTTAGAACATACGTTCTTTTTTTTTTTATTTATTTATTCATGAGAGACAGAGAGAGACAGAGACACAGGCAGAGGGAGAAGCCAGCTCCATGCAGGGAGCCTGACGTGGGACTCGATCCCGGGCTGAAGGGTGGCACTAAGCTGCTGAGCCACCTGGGCTGCCCCAGTAAGTTTTTTAGAATTCCTCCACAGTTCAACCAACCAGCAAAGTACATGAGATCACTAAATTCTTTTGTTTTTTTTTTTAATTTTTATTTATTTATGACAGGCACACAGTGAGAGAGAGAGAGAGGCAGAGACACAGGCAGAGGGAGAAGCAGGCTCCATGCACCGGGAGCCCGACGTGGGATTCGATCCCGGGTCTCCAGGATCGGCCCTGGGCCAAAGGCAGGTGCCAAACCACTGCGCCACCCAGGGATCCCCAATTCTTTTAATTCTTTCAGCAATCCTATTAGCTGATGTTGATTCATAGAATTTGCACTCAAATAATGAACATATAACTGTACCCATGACACCTGTCATAGAGACCATTTCAGAAAATTGACCACAACTATTTTAAAATGTATCATACAGGTAGAATGAGTAAGGAGAATGTCTCATTTAAAAATTTCAATAGGGCAGCCCCGGTGGCTTAGCAGCTTAGCAGTTTAGCGCTGCCTGCAGCCCAAGGTGTGATCCTGGAGACCGGGGATGGAGTCCCACGTTGGGCTCCCTGCATGGAGCTGGCTTCTCCCTCTGCCTGGGTCTGTGTGTCTCTCATGAATAAGTTTTGAAAAAAAAATTGTTTTTCAATAAAATCTGACATTTTACCTAACCTAGCTGGAATACCACTTACTGTGACAAATAATTTTCTCATCTAGCTGAAATTCTAACAAATGTAAAAGATTTTTTAAAATAGCTACATGGTGGCACCTGGCTGGCTCAGTCGGTAGAGGAAAGAACTCTTCATTCTTGGGGTCATGAATTCAAGCCAGGCTGTGGACATTAAAAAAAAAAAAAAAAAAAAAAAAAAAAACTATACAAATTTGATTTTTAGGCCATGAATTCAAATTATTTCTTCATAAATGTTTAAGTCCTAGGAGACAAAACGTACTTCTAGTTTTGAACTGCAGCTCTTATATTACATAACTCATCCAAAGAAAAAAACTTATTTTTCAGATTTTTAATCAATTACTTTGTAGGAAAGATCCTGTATTCTACAATGTTTGTTTACTTCACAAAGGACTTTGTACCTTCCTAACAAAACATATTTTAGGCTTTAATTCATAATTTTCTAACAATTTCTATTACTGAAATATTTTATTTTCTATCCAAAACCAGTTCTTTTTCATGTGAAAACCCAAGCTGTTTTATAGCTGGCCAAACTTTTGCGAGCTCAACACTTTAAAAATTATTACAAAAATTTTTGTTGAACCTTTAATTTTGATTTCAAGTGACTAAATTTCAACTTGACTTTCAAAGATTTCATTCATTATGCATTCGCTGAAACTCAGTATTTTCCGCTTTGTTAAATAATAGCTTTTATCTGCGACAGCCAACTGTAATTACCATTCATCATGAAATCTGTAACTTAATTCCAGTTAATTGTTCCAGTTGTAGTACTAGCTTCTGCATCTCTACTTTTTTCAGTATGCCTTCATTTTAAATTAAAAAATGAGTATTCATGTCTGAACTAGAAAAATAAGTATTTTAATGATCAATTATGATTTATAGAAGTATCACTGTAATTCCTGTTATCTGTATGAAATGCTCAGGTAAAGATTCTATGTTACATTGATTCATAGAAAAAAATATGCACTAAATCCCATCTGTTGACATCAATTCAGTGATGTGTTTTTATGTAGTATTACACGACACAGGAGTTTGACAGGCATACTACAATAATCACAAGCAAGGTAACTATATTTTGAAAAGAACTGAATTGAAAATACTTCAATTGCTTTTGTTTTTTAATATTTTATTTATTTATTCATGTGAGAGACACAGAGAAGCCGAGACATCAGCAGAGGGAGAAGCAGGCTCCCCATAGGGAGCCTGATGTGGAACTCAGTCCCAGGGCCCCAGGATAACAACCTGAGCCAAAGGCAGATGCTCAACCACTGAGCCATCCAGGTGTGTCCCTTCATTGCTCTTTTTTTTTTAAGATTTTTTTTTTTTTATTTATTGAGAGAGAGAGAGAGACAGAGAGAGAGAGAGGGAGGCAGAGACACAGGCAGAGGGAGAAGCAGGCTCCATGCAGGGAGCCCAACGCGGGACTTGATCTGGGGTCTCCAGGATCACACCCTGGGCTGCAAGCGGCACTAATCCGCTGAGCCACCCGGGCTGCCTCCCTTCATTGCTTTTTTATATTTAATTAAATTAAAAAATTCACTTAGTCCTACTGAGCTCATTTCAAGTGCTTAATGGCCACACATACCTATAGATTACTGTATTAGCACAGATACAGAAATGAGTAAAAGCCAAAAGGCTTGCAGTTTTTATTCCATTTCTCATTTATTTTATATAATTTCCAGGGCTTAGAATTTACTGGATTGTAATTCTTTTGCATCCTTACTAGAAGTAAGACAGCAGAAATGGAAATGGTTGGATACTCTGTATAGGACTCCTTGGAATATACATCATGGTCCACTGTATCAATCTCTAAAAAAAATTATAAAGCTCCTAAAAACAACAATCAAGTTTATCTCTTTGGAGAATGCCTTTTAAACAATGTGTTAATAAAAGTTTAACAATTGGCTTTCAAAAAAATTTTTAATATATAAAAGATGTGTAGCACACAATTACAAATGATAAAAACATATACAATATCCTTTATTGTAAGTTCCATATAGCCAGCTGATTCTCATAGGTTTTTGTTGATTTTTGCCTAACTCTTGTATCTGTAGCCAACCTATGATTACAATTTGACCAGGACTTTACAAATGGTGTTGCATCCCAATCTGTTAACTCTTTCCCCAATAAATTTATTGTCATTAAATCTGATATGTGATCTATTGTTAAACTATTTCTCACCCTTGTACAAATTATATTCATTAAATTGAATCCTCTTTCAGCTTCAGCATTATTGATTGCAATAGTGTTAACTATCTTTTTAGCTTTTTGTATAGTTGTAGGAATGGAAACATTGTTTGATTTTATATTATTATTTACAAATTCCCGAAAATCACTCAAATCAATTTCATATTTTAAAATTTCACATAGATGAAATAATTTTTTTTCACCAGCTATCCATGGTGAAGTTACTTCTTCATAAGGCCATGCAGAAGGTTCTAGCAAGTCAAAATAATCAAAAATACTTTCATTGTGGTTTCTGTCAGATACAAGACGTAAGTGCATGTGTTCAATTATATTTTCTAGTAACATACTTCTAGGAAGAGCATTAAATTTATTATTTTTATTAAATGGAATATCTTTAAACTTATCTGACTTAATCAAACCTTCAATTTGAGACTCATGCTTTCCAGTACCAATTTTTAAATTTTCCAAAGCTCTTATGGTGCGTTTGATTAATTTTTGTGCTTTTTGAATATTAGTTGATCTTGACTGTAATGCAGTTGAAAGTAGTGAAAATTCTTCAAGAATGTCAATCATTAAAGCCAGGTCTTGCAAAAAATTAATGTTAGCTAATCTCTTTGCCAAACCAGAGTGAGAATTAGAAAAATGCATATACAATACAGGATATGCATGCCATACAGCAGTAGCCGCTTGTAAACTACATGCTGCCCATCTTGGTCCCATTACCCGGCCAATTTTAATAATTTCAATTTCAAGATCTTTAGCTACAGTTTCTAAAAGCTTGTTTTGATTTTTATTAGACTGGTGATAAATGGAATAAATTTTATCAAGAAATAGTTTAAAATGATTAACTTGTTTTATTTCAGATATTGAATCATCAAGTGACAAATGCAATCGATAGTTTAAACAGTTCCAAATAATGATTTTAGGAAAATTTTCTAACAACTTTGTAGCTACTCTAGACTTTTTTCCCAACACTGTATTAGCACCATCAGAACAAAATGCAATTAAGTTTGCTTTCAAATATTCATCAGTAAAGCCACAATCATTTAAAGTACTCAATATTGTATTGAAAATATACTCTGCTGTGGTTGACACCAATTCTTTTAAAGCAACAAACAACATAACTGGTGTGGGAGCCGAATGAACTGTGCACTGGAGATAAATCACTAGAGTGCTTTTCTTTGAAACTGTAGATGCCTCATCAATTATGATGCAGATTTTGGCATTCTCTTCTATAATATTCTTAAATATCTTTATTTTCATTTCTTTTGCGATGTGTTCTGCTATTCTTGTTGCACTGTATCGCGTATTTAAACAGTTGACCTCTCCATTTTTCTCTTGTAATTCTACTGCCCCCTCAATATCAGATAAAGGTCTATTATGTTTTACTAAACTGTAAACAGTATTGAAAACTTTTACAGTAGCATCAATATTTTTATTATTTTGTTTATGCACTAAATTAGAAATTGATTCATTAACTGATTCCTTTAACAAATCCTGGATTTTACCATGGGCTTTAGAAACATCATGTTCCCTAATTTTCTTCCGCAGAGAAGCCTGTCTAGTAGTTTTATTACTGCCATTAGGAGTTACTAAATATGCAATCCATTCCTTGGACACATGGACGTGCTTTTCGGCTTTCGATCCCAAATGCCGAACTGCTGAACAATCTTTACATCCTAATTTACCTTCTTTTATTTCAAGCCATTTGTATTGTTCTGTAAACATCAATGCTTGCTTTTCATTCCAACAATCTGGAAGCACAAGATTATCTGTTTCTTCCTTTGATGAACATGATGGATTTTCTTCAGTGATTGGTTGTTCAACGTATTTGAAATTCGGTTCCTTTGACTTAGACAATTCACATTGACTTTTGTTATTACTACTTTCTGTGTCTGTTTTCACCTTCTTCACATTTAAAAAACGCAAAAAATCTCCCTGCCGTTTTGGCATTTTAGGGAACAGAATCTGAAAAATAATTTTACATATATAAGTAAAGTTCTTGACAACACCTTAAGGGTTAATGTAAAAACTTCTGCTAGTGATTTTATATAATTTTAGAAATAAATTTTGAATTAAAATACTTACCTTGATTTTTGGTTTGTACCTGTAACTTCAATATGACTTGCTATTTCTTAAAAAATTCACTATCATTTTTTTTAAAGTTTATTTACTTTTTTAGCAATCTCTACACCCAATGGGGGGCTCCAACTCACAACCCTGAGATCAATAATTATATGATCCTCCTGACTAGCCAGCCAAGGCACCTGTTTTTAAAATTTTATAATCAATAATGTTACAAAATCAGAATATGTCTGATTATCATCCAATTGGACGAAGAAGTTGCTCATATGATTTACAAATGAGTATAGTTTTTTTTTTTTTTTTAACTTATGATAGTCAGAGAGAGAGAGAGAGGCAGAGACACAGGCAGAGGGAGAAGCAGGCTCCATGCACCAGGAGCCTGACGTGGGATTCGATCCCGGGTCTCCAGGATTGCGCCCTGGGCCAAAGGCAGGCGCTAAACCGCTGCGCCACCCAGGGATCCCCAAATGAGTATAGTTCTAATGTGATAAGTGGTTAATATTTTTCCTTAATAAGACGAAAAGTGAAAAAGTGAAGATGTATACCAGAACAACACCCACTCATCAATATCAACATCTTTGTTAAATTAAAAAAGTTTTCAAGTACTGCAAGGTTTCCTCAATTTTTCATATAGCATACAGTCTAGCAATTTAGAGGTGTATCAAATTTTTGGGCTTAATCTGCATAAACATTTTATTCATCACTTTTTAAAGTTTACATAATCAATAAATAATACATCAAGCTCCAAACTGTAGTTTGACATTTACCTTGGTATAAGTATTCTAATTATGTTGCAGGAGTGTGCTGTTATACAGTTTTTTTTTTTTTAACCATTCAGATACAATAGGTATAAGTAACCTCAAATTAAGATATGACGAATTTTATGGGATCCCTGGGTGGCGCAGCGGTTTGGCGCCTGCCTTTGGCCCAGGGCGCAATCCTGGAGACCCGGGATCGAATCCCACATCGGGCTCCCGGTGCATGGAGCTTGCTCCTCCCTCTGCCTGTGTCTTTGCCTCTCTCTCTCTGTGTGTGACTATTATAAATAAATAAAAATTAAAAAAAAAAAAAAAGATATGATTAGTTTTGAGTATTTTCTACCTTAAATGTAACAATTTATTTCCTTATAAGTTTATATACTTTAATCTTTTTATATACTTTAATTTTTAATAATGGTTATGTTTACAAAATTAGCTCACAAAACTGAAAAATCTAACAATCAGTTCTTGCAAGCCAGTTCAAGCCACTTCCAACACACTTTGCACTTACAGAACTGAAAAACCACAAATATAACATACTTACATCATTATGACAGGTGCTAGGCTTTTCATTATCACTACAGACTAGATAATTGTATTCAAGAACACATTTTGATGGTCCTTCCTAAAAAAGAATTGATCAAATTTACAAGTCATGAAAACCATTCAAACCAAACTTGCATCTATAATCAGGTAGGTTTTTGTTGTTGTTTCTTAGAAAAAGTCTTACAGGTGGCACAAAATAATCAGAAACAAAACCGGCACAGAAAAAGATTCAGAGTAGATGAATAAGTAATGATAACAAGACCCAAAGAGAAACTAAATCTACATAGAGGAATAAAGCCATGTGGATTCCTTAGGAAATGGGAAATAGTATAGGGAGAGCATTAAAAAGACTTATCACGGTACTATTTTTTTTTTTTAACTAGAAGAAACAATAATCTTTTAGATATCTAAGCTAAGAAATCAGAGTTTTGTTTTTTTTTTTTTTAAGATTTTACGTATTTATTCATGAGAGGCAGAGAGAGAGACACATACACAGAGGCAGAGGGAGAAGCAGGCTCCATGCAGGGAGCCTGATGTGGGACTAGATCCTGGGACTCCAGGATCACACCCCAGGCCGAAGGCAGACGCTCAACCGCTGAGCCACCAGGTGTCCCAAAAATCAGAATCCTTTTTTTTTTTTTTAAATCAGAATTCTTAAATAGCTCTGCTTTATTCTTCATATCCTTTTTTTTTTTTTATTCTTCATATCCTTACACAAACAAACATCAACCCCTGAGTTTCTCAATTCTTTCTTTACATACATACTACCTGCAACACACACTGGCCCTAAATACCTGGGTCAGAAACCTAGATCAGGAACATTAGAGCTGGGTTTCAAGATCAGCAAAGTATTTAGTGTGGGAAGACTAGTAACAAGATAATCCAAATAAATAGGTATGTAGTACTAAAATAGGGTGAAGGCAAGACCAACAATCAGGAAGTATGCTATTCTGTATGTATATTACAATAAAATTTATATCAAAGGTAAGAGCTCTTTTTATCTACAAATTTTTATCATTCCTTTCAGCATATTGTGTTTATTTAGCTGCATCAACATGTAGATGTATATATGGTAGAACACAAAGAGGATGCTATGCTATCATGTAGACTGAAGGCTGGAAAGAGATTTATATGAAGACTAAGGAATCCATAATTATAGATACATTAAGTAGTAACTTTTTGCATCTGAAGAACCCTCACTCAGAGAACTATACCCAACAGCATTTCATCTTTATTGGGTGGTACGGTAAAAAAGCAGAGAAACAGGTATATCCTGGTGGAACCCAGCATACGATGGAGTCACAAAGGGAAGTAAATTCTGTCTCTGAGTGATTTATTTTTATTTATTTTTTAAAAGGCTTTATGAATTTATTCATGAGAGACACACAGAGAGAGAGAGGCAGAGACACAAGCCGGAGCCTGATGTGGGACTTGATCCCTGGACTCCAGGATCATGCCCTGGGCCAAAGGCAGGCGCTAAACGCTGAGCCACCCAGGCGTCCCTCTCTGAGTGATTTTATTTTTTTATTTATTTTTTTAAAAGATTTTTTATTTATTTATTCATAGAGACACAGAGAGAATGAGAGGCAGAGACACAGCCAGAGGTAGAAGCAGGCTCCATGCAGAGAGCCCAACGTGGGACTCGATCCAGGGTCTCCAAGATCACGCCCTGGGCTGCAGGCGGCACTAAACCGCTGCGCCACTGGGGCTGCCCTCTCTGAGTGATTTTAAAGTAGAATTAAATTACCACTGTTTAAAAAAAAAAAAAATTACCACTGTTTTTTTGTGTGTGTGGCAATAGAGAGGTGCCTGGCTGGCTCAGTAGAAGCATGTGACTCTTGACCCAGGGTGTAGGTTTGAGCTCCCTGTTGGATGTGTCAATTAGTTAACAATAAAATCTTTTTTTTTTTTTTAAGATTTTATTTATTTGAAAGAGGGTGATCGAGAGAGAGAGAACATGAGCAGGGGAGAGAGTCAGAGGGAGAAGGAGAAGCAGACTCCTTGCTGAGCAGGGAGCCCAAGGTGGGGCTTGATCCCAGGATTCTGGGACCAGGACCCAAGCCGAAGGCAGAAGCTTAACCGACTGAACCACCCCAGGCGCTCCAACAATAAAATCTTAAAAAAAAAAAAAAAAACAAAACAAAACACAACACAACAAAAAATTAAATAAAGGTAGTAGGAATATTTTTTACTCTCTTCTGATACTTCAATTCCACTTAGAGCATACAAACATACCTCTGAAATACTACAGACCACAATGATAGAGTATCACAATAAAGTGAATCAAATGAATTTTTTGGTATTCCAGTGCATATAAAAGTTATGTTTATACTATACTGTAGTCTATTGTATGTAATAGTGTTATGTCTAAAAAAAGGTACACAGCTTTATTAAAAAATACTTTGTTGCTAAAAAATGCTAACCATCACTTTCAGTGAGTTATCATCACTGATCATAGATCACTAAAACAAATATAATAATGAAAAAGTTAGAAATATTGTGAGGGATCCCTGGGTGGCTCAGTGGTTTAGCGCCTGCCTTTGGCCCGAGGCGTGATCCTGGAATCCTGGGATCGAGTCTCACATCGGGCTGCCTGCATGGAGCTTGCTTCTCCCTCTGCCTGTGTCTCTGCCTCTCTCTCTCTCATGATTTTTTTTTTTAAAGACACATTTATTCAGCATCATGATCAGACTTACATTTAGCAATCAACAGCATGGGTGCAAAAAAAAAAAAAAAACCACACTACATTAAAACCCTTTGTTGGAATGCTTTACACTTTCCACAGAACAGAAACTAAAATAACTTGTTATATAATTAGTCACAAATACAGTCAAGTTTTTTGCCCGTACACATGAGCATTGTCTAAAACATGTCTTCTTTGTAGCAGCTAGGCCCTGCCACCACTGTGCTTGGCTGAGTTCACAAATCTGTTGTAACCTATAGCTTCCCTGTCACTTCTCTGGCTCTCCTCTCCTGCTAAGCTTTGTTTCCTGGCAGTAGTTAAAACCTTTTGCCACTGCCATAGCTGCTGCTGCTGCTGGAACCGCCATAGCCACCTTGGTTTTGTGGTCTGGCAAAGTATTGGCCTCTACCACCATAGGGGCCAGAGCTTCTGCCTCCAAAATTTCCTCCTTTCATGGATCCAAAATTTGAGGTTTGATTGTTGTAACTGCCAAAATCGTTATAGCTTCCACCACTTCCAAAGTTGCTTCCATCATTACCAAACCCATTATAGCCATCCCCACTGCCACCACATCCACTACCACCTCGACTGCCCTGGAAGCCACCTCAACCACTGAAGTTCCCTCCACGACCAAAGTTGTCATTCCCACCAAAACCACCTCCACGACCACCACCAAAGTTTCCAGAACCACTTCGGCCTCTTTGGCTGGACGAAGCACTTGCCATCTCTTGCTTCAATAGGGATTTCCTTACTTCACAGTTGTGGCCATTCACAGTATGGTGTTTTAGAATGACAATCTTGTCTACAGAGTCATGGTTGTCATATGTCACAAAAGCAAAACCTCTCTTTTTGCCACTGCCTCGGTCGGTCATGATCTCAATCACTTCAATTTTCCCATACTATTCAAAATAATCTCTTAGACGATGTTCTTCAGTGTCTTCTTCAATGCCACCAACAAAAATCTTTTTCACAGTTAAGTGGGCACCAGGTCTGAGAATTTTCTCGGGAGACAGTCCTCTTTGGTTCCACGACTCTTCTGTCTACCTTGTGTGGCCGAGCATTCATGGCTGCGTCCACCTTCTCCACAGTGGCATACGTGACGAACCCAAAGCCTCTGGAGCGCTTGGTGTTGGGGGTCTCTCATTACCACACAGTCTATAAGCGTTCCCCATTGCTCAAAATGGCTCCTCAAACTCTTATCAGTGGTTTTGAAGCTCAAACCTCTGATGAAGAGCTTCTGCAGCTGCTCAGGCTCTTCAGGAGACTCTGACTTAGACATGACAGTGGTGAGAGGGGAGACTTTAACAATGCTTACTCGGCGGTGTCCAGGGGCACAAAGTCTCTCTCTCATGATTAAATAAAACATTAAAAAAAAATACTGTATGAATTGCTGAAATGTGAGAAAGACACAAAGTGAGGAGATGCTGTTGGAATAATGGTGCCAACTGACTTGCTTGACACAGGATTGCCACAAACCTTCAATTTGTAAAAAAAAAATACAGTATTTGCAAAGCACAATAAAATCAAGGGCAATAAAACATGGTATGCCTGTATAATTTGCTTCTCCTTATGGAGCTGTCCAATATTGGATCCTTTTTGGAAACAAAACTGATAAGTTCTATCAAGTTGGATGTACAAAACTCTGGATGCAAATATACAAAAGATTATACTTTAAGTTAAATTTAGAGATTTTTAAGCCTCAACTGAACAAAAGCTGACGTGTTAACTCAGTAAAAATTTGTAATAATTTATTCCACAGAGTATATAAACTTACACCTAATTATGTTTCCAATCTTAATTTTGTAGATTCCTTTTCTCAAATGAATGTGTCATAACACCTATGTCACTCCTAGTTCCTAGTTCTACTTGCACAAAATAGCATCAAGATTATAATGTCTTGTTCTTTTTTTTTTTTTTTTTTTTAGATTTATTCGTGAGAGAGACAGGCAGAGACACAGGCAGAGGGAGAAGCAGGCTCCCTGTGAGGAGCGTGATGTGGAGCCTAAGACCTTGGGATCATGACGTGAGCCAAAGGCAGATGCTCAACCACTGAACCACCCAGGCGTCCTGTCATTTATTTTTTATACTATACTCAGGAAGAACCAAAATTATTTTTCCCGAAGACCCATGAAATATTCCTTCCAAATACTTTTCAGTACAAAAAACAGACACTGTGGCTCTTCAATTTCCATAGCTACATCACTTAATCCACAACACAGGGAAGGCAGAATCAACATACAACTTCTCTTGGTACCCCTTAATTTATAAGGTCTTGAGTGTCAAAAAAAAAAGGGGGGGGGTTACTATATGTACTGTTAACGGGGAAAAATGTCAAGGAAATGTTCTTGCAAAGAATTTCTCTACCACCCTACTAGAACAAAAAACCATGTGTTACTACCACAATGTTTAAAGATGGGATTTTATTTGATTTAGAGAACTGATATTTGAAAAAGAAAACTGTTTTATCAAGTTGCCCTAAACCTAGAGAGCAATTAACAAACATTAAACAGGCACTCATTTAAAGAAAAATTATACATCTTTAATAGCAAACTTCAACTAATTACTGCTTTGGAAAAGTTTTTAGCTACTAAGATACCACTTTAAACAGTGTCTTTGTAAAACTTTAGTTTTGGGTGAAGACCATCCCAAAATACTTCAGGGCCCCCTTTCCCCCAAATCAAGGCTTTACAAAAGCATGGTTCAGAGAGCCATGTGTCCTTTTATTTGTTCCAAAGTGAAGATTCCTGGGTCCTGCCTTCAAATTCTGATTCCACAGGTGTGGAATGAGCCCCAGGAACCTGCACATTTACACTTACTAATGCTTATAGACCACTGTCCCAAACGGAACAAACTATGAAAACTGTGTGTTCCTGGTGATGCAGGATCTTCATTATGAATATCTACTCTCGCACTATGATGAAACATGATGATCTCAGAGGTTGGTGAAGTCTTCAAGCTACTTGCCTTCATGTCATGAAACTAGAGAACGCTCAGGTTTTGAGTTCCTGCAACCCTTCTTGTTTTCTACCTCCTTCCTCATCTGTTCGCGGCCCCTTCCCTCTAACCTGCAGGTCATCTCCTAGAGGACACTCTTGGGAGACCAGAACTTTGCGTAGATTAAGCATAAAATGGCGCTAAGAAGGCACAAGAAGCATGATCAAATGTGAGGCATGTTTTTTCGAACAGTCTTTGGGGTGTCCAGTGCAGGTGCTCAGAGACCTCCTCTGGTCAATTTCCTAACCCTACGCCAAGCCCCCAAGTGTCTGGTGCACCTACCAGACCTTCATACACGGCGGCTCAATGGAGAACGCGCAGGTGAGGTATCCTCACATAACGGGCTTACCACGCATGGTCTCGGGATGCCGAGGAAAACCCGAATGTCGTTGCTACTTACGCTAACAAACTGAATGTCATCTTCGTTTTCATCCGTCGTTGCCTCAGATGCCTCGGGCCCAGCTGGAGGGACAGATTCTATCATCTATAAAAACAAGCCAGAACACGCTTAGCTACTCAGCCACAGCCTCGGAGGAAGAGACTGTCCCCGAAGGAACGAAAACGGGGAGCGCTCTAACAGCAAGCTCCCGAGGAAGGCGAGTGGAGCCAAGCGCACGCAGAGCCGATGGAGGCGGGTGATGCCTCTGCAGACGTGGAGCCACGGGCAGCGGACGCCGCCGAGAACCACTCGCCAGCCCCCGCGCATCCCCCCGTCTCCTCGAGGAGGAGGGACGCACGCTCCCCGCCCAGGGGCGAGCCTGTCTCAAAATGTCGCTCTCGCGGCCGGAGCAGCTGCCACGGGGAGCTCCGGGGCCGGCGCAGGGAGCCGGGGGCCGCCGGGCGGCCATTGTTGCCGCCGGGTCCTCCTTCACACCCGCACCGGGCCCGCCCGCTGGGCTCGGCCCGAGCCGCCGAGGCTCTCGCCCCGCCGCGGGGCTGCCGCCGCGCACCAGGCCTCACACTCCGCCACACACAAAGCCCTTCCCGGCTCGGCTCGCCATGCCGCGGCCCGACGCCCGACCGCTCACCTCCGACCCCGGGTCTCCCATTTCTCCGACGGCCTAACTGACAGCACCGCCGCTCCTGCGGACCCCGCCGCCGCCGCCGCCGCCGCCGCCACGACTTGCCTTCCCGCCCAGCACCGCTTCGCGCCGCCGTGACCCGCCCCTGCGTGAGCGCCGACGCCGCCGACGCCGCCGAGGCCGCGGGCGGAAAGAGGTGCGAAACCGCGTCAAAAGGCGGAGCGGCCCGCTGTGGCCCGCTCCACCCCCGAGCCTCTGTCGCGCCGTCTGGGCCCGCCTCCCTCGCGCCGCGCGGGAAGCTGGGAGTTGTAGTTCTCGTCGCTCCTGAGACTCACCCGCATATTTGAAGAGTGGAGAGGGGCTCTGAATGGTGGCTCTTGTGTTCCTCTAAGCTGTTACTGTACTAGCGTGGTATAATAGTGACGTTTCTCTCTCAGTCACTGTTTCCCTCTCCCTACCTTTTCTCTACTTTTTTCTTTTTGTACAAATACTGATCTAGATGATGTCGATTAATGGTGTTAAAATGCTCTTTCTTTGCTCATTTTTTTAAAGATTTATTTATTTATTTATGATAGAGATAGATAGAGATAGAGATAGATAGATAGATAGAGAGAGAGAGAGAGAGAGAGAGAGAGAGAGAGAGGCAGAGACATAGGCAGAGGGAGAAGCAGGCTCCATGCACCGGGAGCCCGACGTGGGACTCGATCCGGGGCTCCAGGATCGCGCCCTGGGCCAAAGGCAGGCGCTAAACTGTGCTCAGACACTTTCTTACCAAAATAGTGGCCCACTTTTTTCTCTTCAATATTTACACACGAATGATTGTGAACAGGTACAGTTTATGAAAACAAAGGTTTACTGATAATATTTTTTTTAAAAAAGAGTTTACTTATTCATGAGAGACAGAGACACAGGCAGAGGGAGAAACAGGCTCCATGCAGGGAGCTGGACGCGGGACTCGATCCTGGGTCTCCAGGATCATGCCCTGGGCTGAAGGCGGCGCTAAACTGCTGACCCACCCAGAGATCCCCCACTGATAATATACTTTTTAAAGATTTTACTTATTTGAGAGAGAGAGAGAGAGCAAGAGAGCACAAGGGACATGGGAGAGGAGATCAGACTACCCTAGGTGGGGCTCCATCCCAGGCCCCTAGGATCATGACCTTAGCCAAAGGCAGATGCTTATCTTGCTAAGCCACCCAGGTGCCCTCTGAGGATATTATTTTAAAGCTTTTCCCCCTAGCCCTATGAGCCCAAGATCACCTAACAAATCTGTAGTCCCACAACTTTCCTTTGTGATTTTGATTTTGCTATGGCCCCCAATGAGTGAGATCATGCAAAAGGAACTATGAAGCACATCACAAGACAAAGGAATAGAGTTATTTGAAAATTTTAAGAAAGGGAAGTAGGTGAAACAGTATTTTGAGGTACAAAGGCAATTAGGTCTGTGTGCAAAGAGTTCATGTCACATCTGGGCTACAAAGTAGATCCAGAGTCCTGTTAACTTGGAAACTGCAGAATTAACATAGATACTAATTGTTGGCACAGAACCCCCCTATCTGTAGCCCTGCACTTAGTTTGGTATGAGGCTGGTTCTCTGTGTCATATGACCAGCCAAAGGAGGGATATTTCATTCTTACCGATAGATTTTCAAACAACAAAGCTGTTACTCTATGATTTTAGAGAACAAATTTTCTCATTGTGTAAATAAGAAAGCAGTAGTCACCAAGGTCACCTTGCCTCTACAAGTGTGGTATTTCTTTGGGAGAAATATTGTCTGTTAATTTTTCAGCTGACTTTATCTCTGTTATTTGAGTGCAGCAGATATTTACTTTCTCATTTGGAGGCCTGCTTTTGCTGGTTTAAATGAGAACATGGCATTTGATTGCTTATGTTCCTAGCTAGTAGTATTTGATGAGTCTGTTTGATTTCCACAAAGTGCACTAAAACTGCAGGTGCATCTGCACCAAATAAATTTGGGACTTGCAGATAAAAGTTGAGAAAAAGAAACATCTGCTAAGATGGTAGACCCAAAAGCTGCATGTAAATTAACCATTTTTAAACTTCTTAGATGTCTAGGAGAGATTTGCATTTGAACAATTTTTTAACATGTTGGTGAGAGTTCAGTGGAACACTACTGTGAAATGTTGCAAGTGAGACTCATTCAGTTAAACTCTTGGAAAAGAAACAATAAATATGTGGCTGTAGCCCAAATACGTTCATGTCTTTCAATTCAAAAATTGTTGCAGGGCTAGTCTTTTTTCTTTTTCTTTAAGATTTTATTTATTTATTAGAGAGAGAGAGAGAGAGAGAGAGAGCATGATCACACATTGGGGGGAGGAGCAGAGGAAGAAGGACAAGTAGACTCCGAGCTGAGCAAGAAGCCTGCTGCAGGGCTCCATCCCAAGACCCTGACACCATGACCTGAGCCAAACAAAATCAGACTCTTAACTGACTGAGCCATCTAGGTGCCCCTGGGATAGTCTTTTTCATTTTAGGTATTCTAATAGGTGTGTGGCAATGTCACATTGTGATTTTAATTTGTATTAACTTAATTACTAAAGATTTTGAAAATCTTTTTATGTATATATTTGCCATCCATATATCTTCTTGGTCACGCCTGTTAAAGTCTTCTGCCCATTATTTACATTGTTTTCTTATTATTGAATTTTAAGAGTTGTTTATTCTGGATTCAAAACTTTAACAGATATGTGATTTGCAAATATTTTCTTCTAGTCTGTAGCTTATCTTTCCATTTTCTTTCTTTTTCTTTCCTTTCCTTTTTTTAAAAAAGATTTTATTCATTTATTTGAGAGAGTGAGAGAACTTGAGCATAAGCTGGGGAGGGGAAGAGGCAAGAGGGAGACGCAGATTCCCTACTGAGGAATGAGCCCACTGCAGGGCTCCATCCCAGGACCCCTCAGATCATGACCTGAGCTGAAGGCAGCCACCCAACTGACTGAGCCACCCAAGTGTACAAGGTTTTTTTTTGGAGAGAGGGAGGGAGAGTTGGGGAGGAAAGCAGAGGGAGGGAGCGAATCTTAAGCAGGCTTCACGCCCAGTGCAGAGCCCAAAGTGGGGCTCAATCTCACAATTCTGAGATATGATCTGATCCAAAATCAAGAAATGATGCTTAACCAACTGAGTCACCCAGGTGCCCTGAGGGAGAACTTTTATTTTTATTTTTTATTTTTCCGAGGGAGAACTTTTAAAATAAGTGTTAGGTGCTTACGGGTCAGAATAAGTGTCTTTTCTTCTATGACAAAATAAATAGAAAGACAGTATTAATACTTTGATCAAGTGCTCTTCGTGGGTGTTTTGTGAAGTAGGGAACTGATTATAATAGGAAGGTTGGAAAAAGGGGATGTTGTTTGCTGATTGGTTTAGGGTTCAAAGGAAGTTTTCTTTTTTGACGGGGGGTGGGGTGGGGTGGGGGAGAATGTATCCTGAGGCTTTACTTTGAGATCTGGGTCTGTTGTAGTGTTTTATGAATTAAGATGTTACAGGGGGCCTAGAAACTCATTTCTCATTCTCCTAATTTACCTTTTCCCTTACTTTGGGTTTTCCTGTGTAGGCAGAACACATTTACGTAGAGGTAATGAATCTGCTAAACTTATGTATCTGAAACACAACAATACCTGGACTCTTAGCTTCTCCTGCATTAACTTCCACATCTGTAAAATGAGGCAATAGATTCTATGATCCCTTTTAGTTTTTTTTTTTCTTTTAAGACTTATTTATTTGAGAGAGAGAGAGAGAGCAGAAGGAAGGGCAGAGGGAGAAGGAAGGAGAAACCCAAGTCGACTGGACTCCACATTGAGCATCGAAATGCTCTAGGGCTCCAGGCAGAGCCCAGGTCTTGATATAAAGGTTGTGAGTTCAAGCCCTGTATTGGGCTCCACACTGAGCATGGGGACTACTTTAAAAATAAATAAATAAATAAATAAATAAATAAATAAATAAATAAATAAATAAATAAAAATTCATCTAGAGGAATACATTTGTAATTATGACGAAAATAATCAGGAATTTTGTGAAAAAGAATACTGAGTGATATTTCACTCTTCTCCTGATTCTTTGCTAAAAAATATTTTAAAAATTAATAAATCCTAAAGGACAGCAATGCAAAGAAGAGTTTGGGCGGAAGAAGGAAGAGATATGTATTATCTCCACCATCATCAAAGGAATTATTATAACCAGGACTATCTGGGTCACTGTGAGTTTACATAATAGTATTTAATATAATACATATAATACGGATATTATATAAGATATATTATATGGTTATATATTTTATAATTATACACTTTATATAAATTATATATAATTTATAAATATATATTTTATATGTAATATATCCCATATATATTTTCCAGAATTAAAAGCTCTAAGTATCCAGATTGAAAAGGACAATAATGTTTCCCTACACAATGAATAAAAAGAGATGCACAACAAAGCATATTTTCATTTCTCCGATTTTAACGTATCAGGGAAAGAGATGATCAAAAGAAACACCCAAGGAGGATGGGAAAGCATATTCTGAATAAAAGAATGAGAATTAGGATTTCATTATGCTCCTAAAGCCTAGGGTTGTCAGATTTGGCAATAAAAATATAGGACATGTAGATAAATTTGAATTTAAGATGAATAAGTAATTATTTAGTTTAATTATATCCCAAATATTGCAAAGGATATACTAAAAAAATTGGTTGATCATCTGAATCATATTAAACTGGGTGAGCAAACCTACAGTACCAACAATGGGTGTAACTCTGATGAGAACATCCAGGTAAGCATTATTTGCCTTTCCCTTACTCTAAGAAATCAAATAAAGCAACAAGGAGAAAAACAAAAGGCAACAGCAGAATGCCCTGCCCTGCCATATTTAGTAAAATAGGCAACAGCTAATACCTGCAGAAACCAAGGACTTTTAAAAGTTATGTTAGAAATTAATTGTACAGAAATTGAAGGAAAATGTCAAGGCCCCTCATGGGTGGCAGATCTCAGAAAGTACCAGTAAAAGTACACTTCCTGAAAAGGAAAAACTCATCCAGAAATGCAAACTCTATAACCCATAAATCTAACAACTGAAGGGTAAGGTAAGGTGAGCTTCAGCAGAAGTCATGAGGTTGGGATGCAGAGACAATGCACAGAGAAGATCTCTCTAAGAGGGCTCCTGGCAGTGGATCTCAGAAAAACCCAGCAGAATCTTACTCCATAAAGATCATGGGCTCCTTGGTAAGTGCAAGGGCTCTGTATTGTTTGCTGCTGCTGCTGAAGGGTCTGGGAATGCAGGGCTGGTGACAGAAATCCTTCCAGACTCAGCTTGGGTCAGAGGACCACAGGAAACAACCAGGGCTCCACAAAATACTTCTCAGAGGAGCCATCCTGGCTGGAATCAGTGGTCTCTATGACAGCAAAGAGAGGGCCTTTGAAAGGTCTGAAGCCTGGCAGGGAACCCTGGCCCCTCCCACCATCTATGAACTCAACTGCAAAAGCTGGACCAGGAAAAACCATGTCATTATAAAATAAATGTTGAAGAAAGGCTATGGCACAACATCAGCACAAAGATTTTATAAGAAAAAATGTGAAAAGAGCTATAAGAAGGATGATCGCATGAATAATACTAATGAGAAAAATAAAAATGATGTCATAGAACAGATAAAAATACTGACCACATATTTCATTACAAGGTTAAAAAAAGATTTTTTTTTTAAGAGTTCCATCTACTAGGTAAACATCTTAATGAAACTATCATCTCCATATAGGAAGACTGCGGACATACATATAAGAACTCATACATTAGTAAGTTTTTCTTTGACACTTTTGTTAATTGCAGATTTAGAAAGTCCTTCTCTTTCAGATAACATAAAAAATATTTGTGTCTTTTATACGTTCGGTCCAATTTTTACATTTTATTAATCTTGCATTCTTTATGGAATATAGTTTGAAGTGGGAACATAATTATTTTACATTCACCATTTACTTCAGGATCATTTATTGAATAAACCTTCCTTTCCCTACTTATGAGAGGTTCTACTTTAATCATATTCCAAATTTACATGTATGTGAATATATAATACATGCATATATATACACACATGCATATATATCAATTGCTTTCTGGGCACTGTATTCAGTCTCATTAGTTTTCTTATTTGTAACTCATTTAGAATCAATATATGAAGCTCAATTAGAAACAATATGTATATTCTATTATCCATAAGAATATTAACACATCTAAAAATAAGGAAGGACTACAGAATTCTAGTTGAATAATAGTTATGTTTTGCAAAGGCATTTTACATTTAGTAGGGAAAACATACTATGAAGTTGTTTTTTTAAAGGAAATAACATGTATCCCAGTAAAATCATTCTTCAATAAAAATGTTAATGTTCCTGGATAGTGTGTATATATCCTACATAGATAGCATGCATGTTTAATCTGGTTATTGTCTCTATAATACATACAGAGTGTGGCTCTTTAGAAGACAAACAAGTTAGAGCCACATAAGCAATTATAATAGTAATGCCTTAATGTGTGTCAGTAGAGAAGCAATCAGCCCAGAAAAGGATTTTTTCCCCCTAGATTTTATACATTAATAAGAAATGAGCAAATACTTCTCATGTTTTCAATGGGATTTATTTATATTTAAGTAAAAGTAGCAAATGTTAACAGAAGTTATTTCCTTAATCGTATTTATTTTGTATGACCACATTGTTATTGAGCAGCATTATGGAATGTTCTCTGGGCCTGCAGTTCTGAACTTTCCAACTATTATATGCGACCTCTTTCCCAAGTTTAAACATAACCTTGTACACTGAAGAAGCATGGCTTGTTATTGCAAAGTTGTCATGTGTGGCAAGCTGACATCAAAGGAGAAGCCTCTTGATGAAGAATGCTTTATCTTTCATTCATTCACAAAATGTTTTCTTTCTTTTTTTTTTTTTTTTACAAAATGGTATTTTTCTTTTTGTGTGATTATCCAACCCATGTGATTTAGTTTTCAATACTTTTTTCTTCTGATATTATGAAATCAAACCAGTTAAAACTAAGCAGTATAGCAATAAAACTAACCAAATACAGAGGATGTTATATCTTACATAGGATATTTTAGATGATATTTATGTTTTATGTTACACATATATATTTAATGTATGTGGGCAATAAAAAGTTAAAAGCATGTAAACACACAGAAAAAAAATTTCAAATCGATGCATTGTTTTAACACTCACAAAACCTTGGGTTTATTTCTTTTGCAAGAGTGCAGTGGAATAGTTTCACATTAAAATAAACAGGTCTTTCTGCTTTCACTTCTTTTGGATTATTTTTAGGTAACAGAATAATTCTGTAATTTCATTGTGAAGACACCATTACTTGGTTAGGTATGATTATCAGATTTTAAGCCAATTTTGCCGCCCTCACATTCATGAACATTGATTATTTCACTACTTACTTTCCCAAATATGTGTTTATGCTGAAGATCCAAAAACTAAAATGGGGAGTCATTGGTGATAATAAATGTACAGTGATTGATCCAGGACAATGACAAATCTTAGGAGTTGAAGTTTTTGTTGCTATGATAAAAGCTCTATTGTGTTAAGTTAGCTTACAGAGAAGCATTTGGGGACAGGAAAATGCATATTTCTAAGAAAGCATATTGCATACTTATTTGACTGTTAGAAATTCTCCGGTTTGATGCATCACTGATATTTAAGGTGGAATCGACATGCAGCTTCTTCAGCAAGCTTGTTGCTCCATCAAGAGTCAGCGTTATGACGGATGTCTCACAGCCTGTCACTATGTATGTCTGTGCTCACTGCAGAGTCTCCAGCAAAATCCAATGTCAGATTCAGAACTGAAGTGTTTTATTTCAGATATCTACAACACCTACAAAAAAGAAAATTTCAAAAAAACAGCAAATTTTGTTAGAGTTCTTATAGTACTTTTAATAGTTATATGAGTTATTTTTGTGTCTACTACAAATTTTTGTGTAAGAATACAAGTTTTTAGTATGAACTATTATTATTGAGGTGACTTAGAAATTATTTTATGATCTATTCAGAGGAATTCCAGCATAGACAAGTTAAAATATTCTACATATATTTTCATCTCAAATGACTTAAAAAACGATTTTGTATTAGATAAAATTTCAAGCCCACAAAGTAAAATGAACATCCCCACATACCCATCAACCATCTTAAAAGATTATCAACAATTCTGTTTATCATTCTTTTTTTTTTCTGTTTATCATTCTTCAGTGACGTTTGTTGATTGTTTAAATAGCAGGCAGTTTCCCCTGTTTCACCTCTTTCAAAATTCACGAAACCCAAATGAACTAGGTTAGAGGCAGATTACTATAAAGCTCATAAAGTTTGTTTGCATGAGTACCTTCCAACATGTTCACATGTGTATATATTTCTGTTAAATTTGCAAAAGTTAAATATTTCAACCATAATCATAAGACGATTATCTTCCCATTTCAACTGTTCCTTAGTCATATTTTCTCTGATTATAACTATTGGGTGGCAGTGGGCATTTCTGAGATTTTGTTAAGGGATATATTTTGTGCTTTGCCATCTCTTCTATATATAGTTATATTAATGGTGGTCATTCCAGTTTGGAGTGTTTTCTAGCAAAAATATAAATATGGTTGGGACGCCTGGGTGGCTCAGCAGTTAAGCTCCCTTCGGCCCAGGGCGTGATCTTGGAGTCCCGTGATCGAGTCCCACATCAGGCTCCCTACATGGAGCCTGCTTCTCCCTCTGCCTGTGTCTCTGCCTCTCTCTCTTTGTCTCTCATGAATAAATAAATAAAATCTTAAAAAAATTTATAAATATGGTCATTTCAAAGAATATTTAAGAGGACTCATTCCATAGAAAACTTGAAATGCCTTGAAATGTTATAGTTTAGATATCAGAGCAACTTAATAGAAGTTTCTCCAAAGTTGACAACAATCCTAAAAATTACATTGCTGCTGAAGAGTTAAGAATTTGAAGGAAAACTCTGTAAAGTGTAAAAAAAATTTTTTTTCATCCACTATGCTAGAGGATAGTCCAAATTATTTTTTTATTCTTTCTATTGCAAAATTGTCAAATGAAGAGGTAATCAATGTGTATGCAACCCCTAAAAAGTAAGGTAAAAGTATTACAGAGCTGTAAGTAAAAATATGCAATTGCCCTTACATTATGTGATATTTGAAAAATTTGTTAACTTTTAAACATTATGTCATTTTGGGGCTTCTGGCTGCTTCCTTGGTAGAGCACACTACTCTTGACTTCAAGCCCTACATTGGGCATGGAACCTATGCAGAGTTGAACAGACTGTATATTCATAATTTTGTGTTTCTTTTCTTAAAGTGAGTTCTCCAAATATTATTAAGCTTTAGGTTCCACAATTCCCGGATCCATCCTCAAGGTAGGTAGTATTATTTATCCCTGTTTAAATTAGAATTCAGAGAGGTCATTTATCAAGAGGTAGTAGAGGAGGCTTTAAAATCTGCTTAAAGACTTTCTGACCCTAAAACATATAATTTTATATGTCAAGTCGGCTAGGCTATGATACCACGTTGTTTGGTCAAACACTAGTCCAGATGTTGCCATGAAAGTTTTTTTTAGATGAGATTAATATTTAAGCAGTAGATTTTCAGTAAAGCACATTCCCTTGTGTGATATGGGTGGATCTCACCCAAGCAGTTGAAGGCCGTAAAAGACTGAGGTCCTATGAGTAAGGATGTTTCTGCCCTCACATCACCTTTGAGCTCAAGACTGCAAAATCACGTCTTCCCAGGGGCTCCAGCCTGCTAGCCTGTCTTGCAGATTTTGGACTCCCAGTCCTTACAATTGTGTGTGCCAATTTCTTCAAATGTTTCTTTATATAAATCCCACTGGTTCTGTTTCTCTGGAGACCCATGATGTGCAAATAAGAAGTACAAAGAACTCTGGGACTACATCAAAATAAAAAGCTTTGGCACAGTGAAGGAAACCATCAACAAAACAAAAAAGGCAACCTACTGAATGAAAGAAGATATTTGCAGATGATACCTGATAAAGGGTTAATATCCAAAGTATTTAAAGAACTTATACAACTCAACCCCAAAAAGCCTCCCAAACAATCCAATTCAAAAAATGGGTAGAAGACCTGCATAGACATTTTTGCAAAGAAGACATCCAGATGGCCAATAGGCACATGAAAAGATGCTCAACATCACTAATCATCAGGGAAATGCAAATCAAAGCCATAGTGAGACATCACCTTACACATGTCATGATGGTTAAAATAAAAATCACAAGAAAAAGACATTTAAAACAAATTTAAAAAAAAAGATTTTATTTATTCATGAGAGACACACACAGAGAGAGGAAGAGACATAGGCAGAGGGAGAAGCAGGCTCCTTGAGGGGAGCCTGGTGCAGGACTCAATCCTGGGACTCCAGGACCATGCCCTGAGCTGGAGACAAATGCTCAACCTCCGAGCCACCCAGGCGTCCCAAGAAAAAGAAATGTTAACTAAGATTAGAAAATAGGGAACCCTAAAACACTTGGTGGGAATGTAAATTGGTACAGTCACTGTGGAAAATAGTATGGAGTTTCCTCAAAAAATGAAAAATAGAAATACCATATGATCCAATAATCCCACTATTGGATATTTGCCTGAAGAAAACAAAAACATATATGAAAAGATATATGCACCCCTATGCTTAACAAAGTGTTATTTGCAATAGCCAAGATATGGAAGCAATGTAAGAGTCTAACAATAGATGAATGGATAAGGAAGATGTAGTGTGTGTATGTACACACACACACACACACACACACACAGAGGAATATTATGCAGCCATAAAAGGGCAAGATCATACCATTTGTGGAAACATGGATGGATCTAGAGAATATTATACTGAGTGAAATAAATCAGGCCGAGAAGGACAAATACCATATGATTTTCTCATATGTGGAATCTTAAAAAAAATGAATAAACAAAAAGCATAATTATAACTGTAAATACTGAGAACAAATTGATGGTTGCCAGAGGGGTCGGGGTGTGGGATGGGCAAAATTGATAAATGGGCTTGGGAGATACAGGCTTCCATTTATGGAATGAGTAAGTCATGGAACTAAAAGGCACAGCATAGGGGATATAGTCAGTGATATCATAATAGGGCTGTATGGTGACAGATGGTAGCTACACTTGGAGTGAGCATAGCGTAATATATAAACTTGATGAATCACTATACTATATTGTATGTCTGAAACTAATGCAACATTTTGTGTCAAGTACACTCAAATAAAAAAACTAATAAAAAAATTCTTCAAAAATAATACAAAGAACTATATGCTAGTGTTGGCTCTCTGTTACTAATCATATAATCTTGGCAATTCATTTATCCTCTTTAGGCTTTAGTCTCATTATCTCCAAAGTAAGGAAAGCATTTTATTTTTTTAAAGATTTTATTTATTTTTTCATGACACACACACACACACACACACACAGAGAGAGAGAGAGAGAGAGAGAGAGAGAGAGACATATGCAGAGGGAGAAGCAGGCTCCACGCAGGGAGCCTGATGAAGGACTCTATCCCAGGACTCCAGGATCATGCTGTGACCCGAAGGCAGACGCTCAACCGCTGAGCCACCCAGGTGTCCCAGGAAATAATTTTAGAACAAGAATTCTTAATCTTGGCACAACTGACATTTTGGGTTAAGTAATACTTTGTTGTAGGGGAACTGTTCTATGTCTTGTAGGACGTTTAGCAGCATCAATGGCTCCAACCACTAAATGCCAGTAGTATGATCCAGTTGTGGCAACCATATATATCGTCAGACATTTTTAAATATCCCCTAATTGAGGACAGGGGGAAAATGTTTCTCCCATCCTATTTGAGCGCTGCTGTATTAGATCATCTTTGAGTTATAACGTATGCATAGGTAATACTTTTGTAGAAATTATATAGGCTGAGGCAGCTTTGGAACCTTCAGGAGAAGACTGTCTGACCATATAGTGGGATGTTATAAAGGTTATTTTAATATTTTGTAATTCTTATAAATAAAGTTATCTTTAGTTCCTATAAGAAAGAAGCAAAAAAATGGAGAAAGGTCAGAAAGATTGGCAACATAAAGTTCTTGGCAATATGAGCCACAGGCAATTGAAGACAGTCACAGGAATGAGAGAATAGATAAAAAGGGGAGAAGGATGGAATATAGTGCTTATCCTCTCAGAAATGAATTTTAGCTGGGAAATGATTGTTGTTTCAAATCCAAACCACCAGTGGCAACCTTGTGCTCAGTACTGGTGGAGGGCACAGTTTACCACAGGGTAGGCTAGGCTTCTTGCATGCATGGGAACTTGTCAATATCTACATGATTCTGCAGTGCATATTGTCTTACTAATAGTGATGCAAAAAAAGTTATTTATCCAAAGAATACTTTTTGGGGTGGAGTAAGGAGGGAGTATGGTTTGTCTGAGTAAGTGTAGTTATCTTCAGACTCCTGCTAGTTAAATAACCAAAAAGAGAAAAACATAGCAGCATTCCACTAGATGGTGCTATATCAAACTAATTCAAGAAGCATGGCTAAATCAGGTTGGATGGGATCCTATCTTTCCCAGCATATTTTCTCAGTCCTTTTGAAATAATTTGGATTTAACTATACTTCAAATGAAAGATACCTGCCAATTAAAAAAAAATCCCATTCTAGTGTTAATCTCCACTTTTTATTCTAAATACACATATTTTTATTCCAAGCAACTTGTCAACAAAGTGAGGCTCAGGGCCTGAAGGCACCAGAATATATTGTGTTCTTAGCAAAAGATTTGTTATTTTTTTCTATTTTAATTAATGCTGTAGTCAGGTGATTTTTTAAAAAAATATTTTATTTATTTATTCATGAGAGACAGAGAGAGAGAGGGGCAGAGACACAGGCAGAGGGAGAAGCAGGCTCCATGCAGGGAGCCTGATGTGGGACTCCATCCCAGGTCTCCAGGATCACGCCCTGGGCTGAAGGCAGTGCTAAACCGCTGCGCCACCCAGGCTTCCCGCAGTCAGGTTATTAATAGCACTATTACTGGGCTTTAGGTGCATGCAAACTGGTATAAAAACATTCTATTTTTAAAATTTTTATTGATATAAAAACATTTTAACTTGAATTTCTTCAATGCTCTGTTGACTGGTAGTCAGAGATGACTTTTGTGCCTACCCTTGGCAGTCTGAGGTATTAAAAAGGCAGAAGCTGGGATATTAAAATACTTTGCAGAGCTCTGAAATACAAAAATGTGCTCCAAAGGGTAGCCTTATATAGCAGACCCTTGGAAGTCTGTTTTTTTTTTTAAGATTTATTTATTTATGATAGACATAGAGAGAGAGAGAGGCAGAGATTCAGGAGGAGGGAGAAGCAGGCTCCATGCCGGGAGCCTGATGCGGAACTCGAACCCGGGACTCCAGGATCCGCCCTGGGCCAAAGGCAGGTGCCAAACCACTGAGCCACCCAGGAATCCCCCCGGAAGTCTGGTTTTATGGTAATTTGCAGAGAACTTAGCTATTATGCATTCAGATAATGTCAAAATGACCAGGTCTAAGAGTTCATTTAGGCAACTATCTCCTAACTGGGAATTTGTGAGATTTACAATCTACTGAAATCTTTAATGACTTGGGGAGAAAAAGGACAAAAATATCCTATGTTTTATAAATATGTCAGTCTATTAGTATGGATGAGCGAAGGGAAAGTCCCCCCCCAACTCCACCAACCCCTACTTCCCGCAGTTGATAAACGTGTTTTTTTTTTAAGAAATTTTATTTATGTATGAGAGAGAGAGAGAGAGAGAGAGAGAGACTGAGAGAGAGGCAGAAACACAGGCACAGGGAGAAGCAGGCTCCATGCAGGGAGCCCGACGTGGGACTCGATTCCGGGTCCCCAGGATCACGCCCTGGACCCAAGGTGGCCCAGCGGTTTAGGGCTGCCCTAAACGTGTTTTGTTTGTTTGTTTGTTTTACTCTTGACTCTTATCAGAACTAGGCTTATTTATACAGCAAAATAGTAAGCCACCCTCAAGAGTGCTGGGGATGGTAGTCAGCAATGGCTGGAAGGCAAGTGGGGGGAATTATTGCATTACTTGCAGTTCCAATCCTATTTAAAACACAGTGAGAACACAAAGATAAATAAAATGGTCTCAAAGGTGGCTAGAGTTAGGCAGAGAACAACTAAATTGAAAGTCAAAGATAAAAGTCAAGGAAATTGAAGGAAAATCCTGCCCTCATGTAGTCACCATATACCTCTATTAATAAAAAGTATTTAAAAAAGATCCCTGGGTGGCGCAGCGGTTTGGCGCCTGTCTTTGGCCCAGGGCGCGATCCTGGAGACCCGGGATCGAATCCCACATCGGGTTCCCGGTGCATGGAGCCTGCTTCTCCTTCTGCCTGTGTCTCTGCCTCTCTCTCTCTCTCTGTGACTCTCATAAGTAAATAAAAATTAAAAAAATAAAAAGCACATTTATACATTTTTTCACATATTTTCCATCAAAATAATGGAGAGGAAGGATGAGCACAAGTGAACCAACCAGCACATTGAGGTGCTAAAGCAAACACAAAATTCTACTAAACAGGTTTGCCTAAGGGCAGGGCCTGACTATAAAGTCTCTTTCCTTCAAAACTCACTAGAAGCAATTCTTTTTCTTAGTCTATTAGAAACATCTTGGTAAAAATCCTTATCAAACTGATAGAAACTATAACAACTGATTATTTTTAAGAATTTATTTATTTATTCATTTGACACAGAGACAGACCACAGGGGGAGCCCAGGCAGAGGGAGAGGGAGAAACAGACTCTCCACTGAGCCAAGAAAGAGCCCAAGGAGGGGGGGGGGCTCCATCCCAGGATGAAGGCAGAAACCTAACCAACTGAGCCACCCAGGCACCCCTATAACAACTGATTTAAATATTTAAAGACAGTGAGAAGCAGGAGGGAGAATGGCAGAGGAGACCCCTCAGTACTTCCAGCCAGTGGAGGGCCCTCAAACAAACCACTGTTTGGAGTTGTAAATTTAGTCTCATCAACATACCTTTGAGATTTCCCTAGGGTCTGTATCTCCCCTGTTCTAGAAAAACATTCCCTAAATTATCAAGTGTCCCACCTTTGGCCCCTTTCTACACCCACCCACAAGTTAACACACATTCCGTAAGGAAAAATAAAAATTCCTTAGTAAAAAACATTTGGAAACATTACATACTCTATCACCTATTTAGAGATTTCTGGTGCATTTGGGCGTATTAAAGAGTATAAAAGTACTCTGAGAGGTTCTGGAAAAGGAAAATCTCTATCTGAATTTAGCATTCCTCAAGTTTAAATCCCCTTCCCCATCCTCACCTCCACCTTTACAAATACCTATTAGCATTTCTTGGACCTAGTAGAGTCCTAGTAGAGTTTCTAGTAGAGTGTTCATAAAAATTCCAGGGATATTCCTGGGATAAAAGTATTACATCTTCTTGCCACATGGAAAGGATTGTGAAGATTGAGAGGACTTACCAAAGGGATCTACTTAATATCCTGAGAGTTCAGATTTTTGCTTAAATTTGGCTTCTTGGTACAGTTGTTTAGCTTTTGCCCTATCATTCTCCTAATTGAAACATCATCTGTGTTGGGAAATAACTGTTTTGTGACTCCTGTAAAAGACAACAACAATGACACACAAAAATCCTTTTTGAGGCCTTTGCATCTTAAGGTAGGAACTAAGATAAGACGTCAGGCAATCCACAATGTAATTTTGTCTCCATTTTGCAGAAGTAGTCTAAACACCCATGAGATATTTAAATACATGAATATATAGGCAGGGTCTGCAAAGCAAACTAAGAGATACTGAAGGTCTATGTTAGAAACTGAGAGCATACATATTGTATTCCTATGGTACTGCAGCTTTAACCTTGCTACTTCTCTGAACTCTAGATCCCCTTGCTCCAAAATGTTAGTTTATTTTTATCCATTCTCAGCATCAGCTGAAACAACAAATTCTTTTGACTGTTTTCCAACTAAGAAATGACATATTAAAATACAGAGAACTTAGATTCAGTGATTCCCTAAATTTGTTTGATATTTGTAAAAAAATTATTTGATAATCTAGATTATTATATTTGAGGAGATTCATTAACCTAAAAACTGTAAGTAGGATGAAGGAGGGCATGTGATGTAATGAGCACAGGGTGTTATATACAACTGATGAATCACTGAACTCTACCCCTGAAACTAATAGTACACTATATATTAATTAGTTGAATTTAAATAAAATAAAATTAAAAAAACTATAAGTAGGAAATTAGCTCCTATTTTTCTAGAATAAAAGATAAAGGATCTAGAACCACGATAAGAAAGAAAATAAGACATAAACTGTTACTGAAATTTTGTTTGAAAAGATTTTGAAATGCATTTTTCTGAAGTTATGAATTTTGTGAATTCAAACATATAAGTGAAATAAAATTTAGTTTCATTTTAATAACTACTTTACTGTACATTTTTTTCTATAAAATTTACCATATTTAATAAGAGGTTTAGGCTATCTTGAGATTTTTCTTTGATAGAAAAATAACAGAAAGAACATGAAAGAACGACAACCTTGAATGGTAAAATAATTTCAAATTCATGTGACGATGTAATACAATCATATTATACCTATAATTTCTTGAACTTCATTCTGATTCATAGCTGGTTTTACGGCTTTGTCCCTCGAAGTAGAGGACTTTGCTCCTGTCAGGCTGTGTGTGGCCATGTATTCATTTGTGTAAAGTACTTGCATTAAATCATTAATAAACTTCTGAGGCTTGCTCTTGTTACAGCGGGAAATCTGCCATTTTTCAATCTTGAACTAGAAAATACAAAGTAATAACTGAAATTAGAAAAAGAAAAGGAAAGTAGTATATGGATAAATATATTACTAATCGAGTTAAGACACACCAGAAACAAAATCAACATTCTTTAAGGTGATGTATTTTACTTTTAATACATATTTTACATTTCAGGGGTTATCTTTGATATAATTCCCAATTTTATGAGGTATTTGTTTCAGAGTTTATACAAACTCTTGTCATGTAATCTGGAATTGGATAGTTTAAGGATGAGTCCCATCCTCAACACCTCCTCTTAGGTGTGGTAGGCAGAATAATGACCCACTGAAGCTATCCATGACCCTGGAACCTGTAAATATATGACCTTATATGGGGTGTGATTAAAGTTAAGGACCTTGAAATGGGGAAATTATCCTGGATTATTCAAGGCCCAATTTTATCACATGAGCCCTTAAATGCAGAAGAGGGAGGCAGAAGAGTGGGGCAGAAGAGTGGGTCAGAAGCAAGACCGGAAGGAAGAGGACACATTGGAAGTGAGAGGGGCTTTGCCTTCATGGCTGGTTTTGAAGGTGGTAGAATGGGCCATAAACCAGGGAATGTGGTTACCTCAAGAAGTGGGAATGGCCTTCAGTTTCCCGTCAGCAAGAAAATGGGGAACTCAATTCCACAACCACAAGAAACTGAATTCTACAATAACCTAGAGGAGCAGGAAACAGATTCTTCCATAGAGCCTCCAGAAAGGAATGTACCTGCTGCCTCCTAGATTTTACCACACTTCTGACCTTCAGCACTCTGAGATAATACATTTGTGTTATTATAAATCACCAAGTTTGTGGCCATCTGTGACATAGCAAAAGGAAACTGATACACCAATATTCAAATATCCTAAATGTTGGATGTTAGTATTTAATTATTGCTCTGGAAGGCATATTTTCCAAAACTGATATTGGATTCTAATGAAACTCTGGTCCTTTTAGCTTCTGTTCCTTGAAGAGAAATTGGAGAAGTAGGAAAAGATTATATTCTTCCGACATGCAGAGGCTGAAATTTACCTTCTATCAATGATATAATTTTGTAACCCTCAATGCATAGTTATCCCTCACTGATTTAAGAATTTTCTAGTTTAATGACCTCATCCTTGACCACAATTGACTGTAGTTTTCTAAATTGGATATTTGTGAAACAAATATTGTTTTGATTTATCGTTAAAAAATTGTTTTATGTAATTTCAATGTTAGGGTCATGACCTAAAGTTACCTAATGTTATCTGATAAAACAATGATCATTTTGTAGCCTTTTTTTAAAAAAAAAATCTTATTTTTAAGTAATCTCCACACCCAACGTGGGGCTCAAACTCACAGCCCTTAGGTCAAAAGTAGCATGCTCTACCAACCAAGCCAGTCAGGTGCCCCATCATTTCGTAGTATTATTTCAATTTTTTCATTTACTGTATCCCAGAGAAAGTTAGAGCAGGTATTCCAACTGACCTGTTTTTCATCAGTATGATGCTCTTCTTCAGCTTTCAAGGAAATAGGTGAACTGGAATTAGAGTTAGAATTACTGCACGTTGTGGCAAATGAGTCTGGTGAGGAGTTGTTTGTTGCCCTCCAGAGGGTGGATGCAGATGTGGACATGGTTCCTCCACCCTTAAGCAGGGCCTCTGCCATACCAACTAATTCTTCAAACTGCGTGACCGCCTGTGGTAACACTGATGGCAAGGAAAAGTAACCCTTTATAAATACTTTTAATAACGGGGTATATATTCCTATTTTTAAATTGTGTGTATATACATATTACATAGCATGTATAGAAATAGGTAGAACAAACTGTTAACATTTACTATTTTTTTTTTTAGATTTTATTTATTCATGAGAGACAGAGAGAGAGAGAGAATGAGAGAGAGAGGCAGAGGGAGAAGCAGGCTCCATGCAGGGAGCCGACGTGGGACTCGATACCGGGTCTCCGGGTCACCCTGGGCTGAAGGTGGCGCTAAACCGCTGAGCCACGGGGGCTGCCCCATTTACTACTTTTGGAAAATAAACATGGTAAGAAGAGTGGTTGGGATGTACTTACTTTTTATTTTTTGATTTAATAATGGCTTAATAATAAATGAATTTTAAAACATCTAGTTAGGGGATCCCTGGGTGGCGCAGCGGTTTGGCGCCTGCCTTTGGCACAGGGCGCGGTCCTGGAGACCCGGGATCGAATCCCACGTCGGGCTCCCGGTGTATGGAGCCTGCTTCTCCCTCTGCCTGTGTCTCTGTCTCTCTCTCTCTCACTGTGTGCCTATCATAAATAAATTAAAAAAAACCATAAAACATCTAGTTATATTTAAATGTATATGCATTACTTCATAACTAAAATGAATGGTTTTTTATTAATTAATTAATTTATTTATTTATTTTAACAGATTTATTTATTTATTCATGAGAGACACAGAGAGAGGCAGAGACACAGGAATACGGAGAAGCAGGCTCCCCTCAGAGAGCCTGATGCAGGGACTGGGACTCATTCTACAGACCTGGGGACCACACCCTGAGACGAAGACAGATCCTCAACCGCTGAGCCACCCAGTTGTCCCTAAAATGAATGGTTTAAAGAGTTGATTCTTTTTTCTAATTGCTAAGAGTATTATTTGAAGGGTTTTAATCTCATTTGGAGACATTAATCATCAATCGCCTTCCAGATACATCAGGCCAGTTTAAATGACCATTAAATAAACCATTTATATTCAAATTTATTAAAATAAATTTTCAGTGACCTTTGTGTGTGGTTTTCCAGGGAGTCAAATTTCATCAAATTAATAAAAATTTGTTTCCATAGGGAGACAGAACATGAGAGACTCCTAACTCTGGGAAACCAATAAGGGGTGGTGGAAAGGGAGGTGGGTGGGTGGGGAGTGTAACTGGGTGAGGGGCACTGAGGGAGGCACTTGATGGGATGAGCACTGGGTGTTATGCTATATGTTGGCAAATTGAACTCCAATATAAAAAATAAGGCCTAATGAATCAAAGAGACTTCATTCACACTTTAAATCTTGGGAAATATTTTAAACCCTAGAAAGTTTTTAATTGCCTGCCTAAATAGGAATAGGGATGTTAAAGACCTGAGAAAGGCAAAATATAGAAACTGTTTTTTCTGGGACAGCGAAGAGAAAACAACTATTTACATTATCTTTTCAAGAGCATATCAACAATTCAAGAAAGCCTTTGAATAAGAGAAAGCAGACTTTCAGTCTTATACTTGTGTTAAAAGATGGGCACTGAGTGCGGCACTTGATGGGATAGCACTGGGTGTTATGCTATATGTTGGCAAATCGAACTCCAATAAAAAAATATACACACACAAAAAAAATTTGTTGCCATGATTCAAAACTGTTTTTACATGTTAAGGATGAATTTTGGTAATCAGCTGAATATTCTCTTTGTTCCTTTTTGATGGAAACTTACACATTCAAAGGTTCATGTGTCCATGTAAAATGGTCTTCTCTAGTTATGGTTATATCTAGTTTGTTTCCTAAGAACAAATAACATTTTGATGGAGTTGGAAGACACTATGAACCCCCTCTGATACAACTCACACTGTTTGAGGGCTTTGGTTGCTGAAGAAGTAAAAAGACTGAAAATTTTTTAGACTTTTCTTAATCATATTATTAAGCTATAATCTTTGGACTAATATTTGATTTGAGAGCTGAAAATCAGGCATATTGATGACACATCCAAATCAATACATCTACTACTATATTAATAGAAAAAACAGTAAAATCTATTAAAATCTTCCTTTATATTCTTTCAATTAATATTTAACTAAGCACTTCTCATGTCCCATTTGCTAACTCAAGAAGCAATTACTCATTGAGCATTTAATAATATGAAACATTTATCTAGCTTTTATTCTGTGCCAGGCACTATTCTTAGGGCTTTACTGATGTTCATTCATTTAATACTCACTGCTCTCTGAACTAGATATCATCATCACCCCCAGTTTATAGAGGAGGAAAATTAGGCAGTGAGAGAGGCTAAAAAACCCATCCAGGGTCAACACAATTAGTGAGAAGAAGAGCAAAGATTCAAACTCAGACTTAGCCAATTCTATGCTATAAACTACTGTGTTATGTAGATTTTTGACATCTGCCAGCCACTCTATTAAGTGCTAGAGGAGAGACTGGGAGCACACCAGATGTGTTCCTGGACTTTTGGACTGGGTGGGGGCGGCGAGAGGTGGGTTATGCAACCATGGTGTGAGTAAGAATTTGGCCTGCTTAAAGAGAGGTCTGGCCTCCCTTGTTCTTGGAAAGTAACCTCTAGGGATGTCTGGGTAGGTCAGTGTTTGAGCATCTGCCTTTGGCTCAGGGCGTGACCCCAGGTCTGGGGATAGAGTCTCACATCAGGCTCCCTGTGAGGAGCCTGCATCTCCCTCTGTCTATATCTCTGCCTCTCTCTTTGTGTCTCCCATGAATAAACAAAAAAAATATTTAAAAGGAAAAAGAGAAAGAAAGAAAGAAAGAAAGAAAGAAAGAAAGAAAGAAAGAAAGAAAGAGAAAAGAACTTCTAAACCCTTGGAATTTTCTGAGTGACAGAAGGAGTGTCTTTGTTATTCAAGGTGAGCCACACCTGATAGCTCATGCTAAGATATATTTCAGGGTGTGAACAATCACACTCACTAGTCTTATCATGGAACCTGACCACAGCCAGAAAGCTAGAAAGATTAGTCTGAGTTCAACATAGGCAATCAATTAGTCATGCCCATGTAATGAACTCTCAATAAAAACTTTGGACACTGGAGCTCAGGTGAACTTCCTGGATGGACAATACTCCATGCATATTGTAATATATAAATGCTAGGAGGGTAGTGCATCCTAAAGGCAACAGGAGCTTACATTTGGAAATCACCCAGACTCTGCCCTCTGTGTATTTTCCAACTTTGGCTGGATATAATTTGTATTCTTTCCCTGTAATAAATGCAACTACAAGTATAATAGGTTTCAGTGAGTTGGGAGTTTATTTAGTCAATTATCGGACCTGACGGTGCTTTTTGAAAACATCTGAGTTTATAGTTAGCATCAGAAGTCTTAGGCAAATGGGGCAGTCTAGAGAACAGTGCCATTAATTTTGCAATTTGGCCAACTCAAGGTACCTGCAAAGAAATGAAAAATTGCAATTGTTAAGTGCCACAAAGGAGAGGCATAATGTGCTTGACCCAGTTTGGGGAGGGGAGGGCTATGGAGGGCTATGGAGGGGGTCAGGATTGATTTGAAAGCTGAAGGCTGAGTAGGAATTAAATAGTTGGAGGAAATGAGAAAGTCATCAGAGGCAAAGGAAATGCAAGTTCTGTATTTGAGGAACTGCAAGAAGGCAGCTAGAATGTAAAGAGAAAAAAGGAATTTGGTATAAAATGAGGTGTAAAGAATATTTAGTGACCTTTTCTAATAATGAAAGTTGGACTTGTTCATTGGAATGTATCCTTGTCATTTCTGTGTATCTCATATTCATGTATTTTCTTTTATGTAGCTAGACTGTACTACTATACATAGTGTTGTATCATGGTTCTTTTTTTCCAATTAAGAGTTGAATATTTGCCTATTTTGTTAAATCCTCTTGGAAAATATGGTATTTTGAGATCTTATTTACATAGAATCAAAAGCAAGATCTCACACAAAGTCTGAGCAGAAATTAAGTAGGTAAAGGGAGATGAGTTTGACAAAATAATATACTCAGTTAATGCACACCCAACAAGACAGAATATCTCCATCCTCCCCGAAAGTTGCCTCATGTTCCTCCAAGTCAATCCTTGGATTTGCCTTAGAGGCAACCACTAAACTGACTTCTTTAGCCAGAGATAAGTTTTACCTGATCTAGAATTACATACAAATAGGTTCAAATGGTATATTCTGTATATATTTTTTAAAAATTTGGTCTGACTTTTTTTTGTTCTGCATAATGTTTTGAGATTCATTCATGTTGTCATATGTATCTGTTAATCGTTCCTTTTTGTTGTTGACTAATACTGCATTTTATGGATACTCCATAATTAAAGTTTTCATTCACCTGTTGATGGGTTATTTTCCACTTGAAAATATGACCTTAATGATTCCCTAATATTCTAAGGTATTGATGTTTTATAATTTATTTAAATGTTCTTCATCTTTTTTTTTTTTTTCCAAATTTTGGTTGCTTCCAACTTTTCTTGTTTGTTTGTTTAAGAGAGAGGGAGAGGTCACCTGAGTGGCTCAGTGGTTGAGTATCTGCCTTTGGTTCAGGTTGTGATCCTGGGGTCCTTGGATGGAGTCCCACATCAGACTCCTCAAGAGGGAGCCTGCTTTTCCTCTGCCTATGTCTCTGCCTCTCTCTCTCTGTGTCTCTCTCATGAATAAATAAATAAAATCTTTTATTTATTTATTTATTTATTTATTTATTTATTTATTTATTTATTTATTTATTTATTTACGATAGTCATACAGAGAGAGAGAGAGGCAGAGACACAGGCAGAGGGAGAAGCAGGCTCCATGCACCGGGAGCCTGATGTGGGATTCGATCCCGGGTCTCCAGGATCGCGCCCTGGGCCAAAGGCAGGCTCCAAATCGCTGCGCCACCCAGGGATCCCTAAAATCTTAAATACACATACACACACACATAAAAAAGAAAGAGGGAGAGAACGCGTTTGGGTGGGGGGTGTGCAGAGAAAGAATAAGAGAGAATTTTAAGCAGA